TTATAAATCTCTTATCAACTCTGTACATTAAAGTATTTATAATTCCAAGCTTAGCTTGGAATCGTCAAGAATGTGCAGAACTACAGTTAAAATGTTATGCCATGTACTAGATGTTTTATCAACGAAAATTTAATAATGTGTAATAGGCATAGCTATTATTTAATGGTTGGTACTTGTAGGTCTTTAATACTAGGCCTATAGGTCTATTAGGCTTAGGCCTAATAGATTTAACGTCAGTTTTACTTTTTCTATAGATCTGCTTAAAGCAAATGATTAAAATAAAATTATAAAAAGCAATATCTTACCATTTAGAGAGAAAAAAACTGTTTATACGATGCCGTGAAAATTATATTATGCAAAATATTTAATAGGACTAGTTTACAGAAAATGATTTTTGTAGTATTACGTTACTTATATTTACTGTGTACTCAGTTTGCGGGAACACAAATGTTTTATTAACGGCGCTGCTGTTTCTAGAGCAATTTCCAAGGTTTTCTTGAAATTCCAACATAATTTAGACACTGAATGTATTTTAAGATGTTAGTTCACGATTTTGCTGATGTTCGAAGGTGAGCTATCAGAATACTGTTATGCTTTGTTGTTAAAATATTCTAAAAGTTTATAAGAATCCTTAAAAGTGGTGTCATATACACACTTCTAATAACATAATGGTTAAAACTCTGTAAATATTATTTAAATCATTGTTTTTCTCGAAAACAAAAGATTAGCCTAAAGGATTTATGTAACAATATTAGGACAAATAACGATATAATTCCGTGGTTTTCGTACAATCTTCAGGAGCTCTTGCAAGAAAGCACATGTAAAAAAAAAAAAAACAACTTAAAATTTTGAGTTTTGATTGTAATCGCAGAATAGAGATTCCGTTTAGGTTTTTTTACCAACGGATGCTATGTAGAAAAAAAAGTTTGGATTATAGACTAAATTAAGAAAGATTTTGTTCATTTGGCAGTTACTGTATAAGTATTTGATAACACGTATATCTAAACGTTTTAAAATAATTACTGGCAGACACGCAACATTTATTTGGAGTTCTATTAAAAGAACTTATCAAACGGTTTGAATTTCCGTCAACAATATTTGTTGAAATTTGGAAAAAAAAAAGTATTGAAAATTATGAGTTTAAATTATAGATCAAACGAGAAAAATCTGAAATACAGTTCTTAATTAATGTAAAGCATACTTTTTAATATCAGGAAATTGCGTCACGGTGTCCGTCATGACAGCTGTAATGCCTAGAATATGGTCGTGATGACAGGTATTAACTGTCACCTATACTAATAAATTAATCTCTCTCTCTTGTTGTTGTATAATGGTAATTTAAGCGATCTAATTGATGGCGTGACTATAGGTTATAGATTAGCTCCTCCTCCCCGTGACTCAACGGTAAGTCTGAGAATTTATAAAACTAAAAATCGGGTTTCGTATTAGCGGAGTACAAATAGCCCACTATGTAGCTTTGTGCTTAAACAACAAACAAAAAAAGTCTTTCTATTTAATCAAAAGAAAAGAATGAGCTCGTAATCTAAGAATACGAATTATCCAGATTATAGCCAGCTTAAGCAATACGAATTATCCGGATTATAGCCTGCTTATACAATACGGATTATCTGGATTATAACCAGCTTAAGCAATACGGATTATAGCCAGTTTAACCAATACGAATTATCCGGATTATAACCAGCTTAAGCAATACGAATTATCTGGATTATAGCCAACTTAAGCAATACGGA